AAAATATCCTAGAATAAGTTACTGCACAGTTCTCCTATATTTTGAGGACTGTTTGCCCTTCATTTTTTCAATTTTTCTTCTTTCTAGCTATTAGGAAGGATTACTTTCTTTACCATTTTCATTTGATTTACTATAGGCTTGACAAAATGATAATCCTGGATCCATTATTTCCTTCCTCTAGTCACTGATGTTGTAAATTAATGCTGCGACTAAGGAAGTGTAGGATTGTGCATAATTAATTATTATATAAACAATTATGTCTCATCAACTAGCTTAATCATTATAACAACAGCAAATAAAAGTGACTGTAAAGATAATACATAAGATGACTATAGCGCTTTCAAAACATTTTAATCTTTAGCATGATCCATCAGAAAATGGAACACACTGTGCTGGTCTTACACTTTGGAAAACTGATGAAGTATGTATGAATAACCTACCCAAAGCTACAAAGGTGAACTTTACCAGCCAAGACAAAACTCCAAAGTTCAGACATCAAGTCCTCTGTTCAGACTATAACAAAGTGACAAATCTCATTCAATATTTGAAAGCCTTTCCCAGCAAGGAAGTTCTCCACAGAATTAAGAGTTTGTTATTTCAGCTGGGATCTTTCTCTATTTTATCCACTGCTGAGCAAGATAACACTTCCAGTGAAGTCCTTAATGTGATAAACCATGTGTGTACACACATACACACATGCATTTCAAAAGGATGAAGCCATTCTTATTTAATTCAGTTGATATAATGGCAAACAGTTGTAAATGCTACAGTTTCTTCTTTGAAAGTGGACCTACCATAATTTGTGATTTGATGACCAGTTTTCCATTTTTATTTACAGGAAGATATCTCGATTTGTCAGAATCTGATGAAAATTATGGCATAGAATAGCAGAGACAAACCATGAGTTAGATTTTCAAGTGTGATTCACTGAAAATGAACTATGACTAGCCCTCCTAATTTGTTTTTTTTTTTCCATTAAAGAGCCTTTTAAACTACAATTTCATTTCTCTGACAAAATTCACATCCACTATCCTGAGAATTTCTAACCTGTAAAAATCTATGGAAAAATGTAATGATAGGATCAGTTTACTATAGTGAACTAATCTAAAAAAGTTAAAATAAAAATAATATTTGGATAAGGTTTGGGTTTGGTAGGGAAGAACAGGATGTGCTTCTTGTGAATTATACTATACTGAGAAAGACTATACTGACTATACTGCAAAGACAATGTGAAATGTAATGGAAGGGGTCGGTGAGAGGAAATACAAAAAAACCCTCTCACAAGATAACACATACAGACACAACACTTCAACTCTAATTACTTGCTATTTAAGCAATAAAGGTGTTCTCAACTCTTTTAAAGAACCTTTTCCCTGTTTCATGCACAACTGAAGAGATCCCAATTTTATTATAATTTGTATCAAATAGTGCCTTTGGAGAACAGAATGACTTAAATCTTAGCCAGAAATATTAAATAGGAAAAAGGAAAGACCTGCAATACAAATCTGTAGCTCACAGAGAAAAATCAATTTACAAGAAAGTTTAAAAAAAAAAAAAAGGCACAATCCTCTGGTAGACCTGATAACAATTTGAACAGAGAGGGTGACAGTGGCCAAGCAATTCCAGGTGTTTTCATGCATACGTGTATATTTGTAGTGTATCTGTGTCTATTTCGTTCAGCTTCTACTTTCTCCGTGCTCTTCAGAAATCAAGTATTTGATTTGTAAGATGCTACATTAGTGCCAGCAGGCACAAAATGGTATAATAAATACACTCTTCACAAAATATAAAAGTCATGCACTTAGTGAAGAAAGCATAGCTCTTCAGCTAAGTGGAAATCAGTATTTCCCTCTCATTTTTTTAAAACAGCTCTGCTCAGCCACTTAAAAGAGTCCCAGCTGCCACAGAAAGTCATACAAACTCCAAGCCCTGCTCTGTTAAGTTTCTGTTCCATAGCTCACTTCAGGAGTGCGAACAGGATACTTCTTGCTGAACTAGACCATAAGAAATTTCCTTAGTAGACCAAGTGAAAAAACAAGTCTGGTAATTTTTTCCATTTTAGCAAATCATTTGAAATCAGTTCCATTACAGAAGCATCAAGTCATTGGTTCTTGTTTTATCACACGCTTTATAAAGACAGGTTTGTTACAACAGCCTTGATGGGGACCAGCAGTTAGGTTCCCACTGGCCACATTCTTGGGGAGAAGCACCTTGGAAGAACTGTGATTCAACAGGACAGGGCTTTTGGAATTCAGAGCTGGGCGTTCCTCAGGGACTAAAGTCACAGAATTAGCGCCCGGTGGCACCACAGATTTCTTAGGGAATAAAATTTTGCTTTGTTCTAGAACAACATGGTTTATAGAAGAGGTGGAGGCACCAGATATTGATTCTTTTATCGCTTCGTTTGGGATCTTGCTATATATGTAATTGGGGGCGTTATTCTCCATTATATCTGACCAAGCCCTGTAGCGAACTTCCGCAGCTCCCCAGTAGTGTCTAATAGCAGACTCGGAGCGATGGCCTGTCACTGCCATTATTTCTCTAGGCCCCAGTCCTGCTTCACACAGTAGCTGGATGGTGGTAGTTCGGAGAGAATGATTGGTGTATCGCTGAGAGAGCCTGGCTGCCACACTTATCCTGGGCATCATGGTACCCAAGTAGTTCACACCCATCGGTTCTCTTTTGTACCAGACAGGCTGTTCTTGCATTTGCTCTGACGTTAGCTTTAAAGGATGCAGGTAAAAGGCAGGGGGCTCTGGAGGCAACTTAGACAAATAAAGCTCCAAGGAAAAAACAGGACAGTTTGGGTCCCCTGGCATGTCATACATTTTACCCATTTTATGAGGATCTTCTCCATTTTTTCCTTTGCCAGGATACCTAAACATAGCGTATCGACGCCCATTCTTGTCCTTCTCAACAACAAAAGCATCTGGAGCCAGATCTCTTAAAATTTCCCTCCCTCGTTTGGCAAAATGCAACTGCAAATCAAACCACACCTTGTTGACGAGTGCCAGTGGACTGTGCAATCCCAGCACACCAGATTGTTTAATCTTACGCAAGTCCTCAGCAGCTATAGGAGGATGGTGGTGAGTCTCATCCTTTCCCTGCATGCGCAGCATCTTCAGCACGCTCACAAATACCGTGTTTGCACTAGCAAACTCTTTGTCCTTCATTAAGCAAATCTGACGATTATAAGGTGGCATTTTGAGATGCCGGTTTAAGCCAGCACGCATTGACTTGTAGCTTGCCACACTGTAGGTATTTCCATCATGATTCCTTATTGTATAATAAAACTCTCTTAGGATATCATTGAGTTCACTTACTGGGACCAATTCAAAGCTAGGATCCTTGCCATTTTTGGCCAGCCATTGTTTTAATAGGTTAGCTGCCCAGCCAGTCTGCTTGTGGGTGTTTTTGATGCTCTTAGCATCCTCTTCCTCTTCCTCCAAGCCAAAGAGGACATCCTCGGGGAAGTTAAAATTCGTCTGTGCTGCTTCTACTGCTTCTTTATTTTCTGATGAAGTCTCTTCCTGTTTCAACTGCTTTTCGAAACAATTGATCAAAGTTGTACCATCAAATATGCCACAGGTATACGGAACACAGCGAACTACTTTTTGATCTGAGAGCTGTGAAGTGCGGAGCAATACATAATATTTTGGATTTTACACAACAAAAAGCAGGTGGCATTAACTGGATTTTTCAAATGATATGGCATGTCAATTCCATACCTCACTAGCCAATTAAAATGCATCAGGACCTTCTTTCTTAACCATGGCATTACACATGCTTTAACTGATTTGACTGAAAGCAAACCTAGAAACATACACTATAACAGAAGACTGAAAACCGGAAAGCATCATGTGTCTTTTATTTCCCTCCTCCTTGCTCACCTTCCATTGATAAATACCACTATCACACACATTCTGTTTTTCCAAAATCTTTTCCGGGTTTCAGGCTCTACTGAAGAAAAAAAATTCCAAAATATGCATCTTATACTGAAAATTAAATCTTAAAACCATACATCTGTCATCCATTCTGGCACTGAATTTCCTACATATCAAGTATTGACAAATGTTTTAATAGCTATAATCCACAGGTATCTTTGAAAAATGAAGTTCCAAACAACCATTCTTTATGAAACGCCTTAATAAAAAGGTAGAGTGAGGCACAGTTTATACTGTATAATACTTGTTATCTTTGCCAGACTATTTCTGCAACAAGTGAAAAACAGAATCTTGTCCAGTATGTTTTCTCCTTGCTTTGAAATACAATTCAGATTTAACTGTACCTTGAAACACTATTAAATGTGGAAATTTTGGCTAGAAGAAATTAATTTTATTCCCCTTAATAAAATGACTTCCAGTTAACAGCAATGTAAGCATGATGTGCTTTGTGAAATATCTATATGCAGAAAGAAAATGAATTACAAATAATTTTAAATAGCTTAATTTCAAACTTTAAGTTTCAAAGCAAGTTCAACAAATTTTAGATGAGGAATCCAGAAGTACTGCAAGTTCTCCTTTATCATGAAGTAGTTATTCCTGAAGAAAATTTCTTTTCCTTTTTTTTTCCTATGATTTATGGCAATGAAATATTAGAACTCCCAATTCTTACTAACTTCTGGATTAGTGTGGAAATGAGAGCGCTGCAATAATTTACAAAATATTTGCAGCTCTAAGTTCAAGCCCTTCAGACAAAAAGTGGGCAGGGTTTTCTTTTGTATGTTAGCTCTGTTTCATCAGACAAGTTTTTAGTGTGCTCCTGATATACTAACTCACCTACTTACACAAAACCCATCAGAAAACTTCTGAAAAGATTATCAGAAGCTCATGCTCAATACTCCGGATCAGAAGAAGAAGAAAAATACAAACGGACAGAAACTAGAAAGGATGGCACAAAAAAGAAACTAAAATTGTTTCATTATGAGCAATAAAGGTAAAGAACTTTTCTCCTGTGGATTGTAACTTTAGAATTTTTTATAGAAACAATCAACAACCTACCTGTGTTGTTCCCTCAGCAGTTCGCTTGTTTGCCGAAGTATCTGTTGGTGGCCTGCTTGTCTGGTTTTCTGAGGGGTCAAGAAATTGTTCATTTGCAGTATCTAATCAGTACTAAGTACTGCTATCACCTATACAAATTTGGAGGCAATATTCAAAATTGTTTGATACTAAGCATTCGGTACATGGCACATTTAACATTTTTCTGCCCTGATTTTCAATTATAAGTATTCAAGCGTGATAACTACCATTTTTCAGAGGGAGTGGAAGATACAGAAAAGCAAAATGGCACTTTCCAGCCTAGAAGCCCTATACATTCCCTTCCTTGAAAGTCTGACAGTGTATTCAAAATATTTTATGAAAATTCCCTTGCCTATCTGAGGACAAAGCATAACTCCAACCACTCCTCCCTCCATACATAAACTGACAAGATATTAAACTGAAAGCCAATTACAATTATTCAGCATTTTTGTACAAAAAATTGACTGAACAATGGATAGTTAAACAGACTGTAAAATACATAACAGAGACAATTTGTGCAGTGAGACTGAGTATTTTTATTAGCTCAGCCAAACATATATCTAAACCAGCAACTTAAGCAGAAGTTGCTTGAATATTTGATGTAGACATTTAAATCCAAATTCTCTGTTCTTATTAATTTTAATCAGAGCTTAGCAACAGTGCTGGCCCAAAGCAGTGTTTCAATTCTGGTGAGAAAACTACTAGGGTATACACTAAGGCTATGTGAACTGCACAAAACGAGACACAGTTTTTTGGACACATAGGCCCTTCCTTCGGTCACTCTGCCTGATCTGTCACAACCCTTTCTATGTTGTGTTAAATCATTACATTAGCTTTAGAGCTAAAAAATCAATACAAAGCATGTAACTGTCTAACTCTATGGAAGACAGATTTTAACATAGGTAACTTAGAGATGGGAAAATGAAATAAAACTAGTTCTGATGTCAAGCTCTGCTTGAGTTCATTTTAATTGTGCCAATGAGAAACTTCTTATAATTCCAACTCACTTAAATCTTGAGAACCTATTAGAAAAAAATTTTCAAGGTACGTAAAATCAGCAGTGCAGAGAATCATCGTGGCATGGTGAAAGATGGAGAGAAAATACTTAAAAATATTTAATCTAGATACTGTTATTTAAACATTCATTGTGTTCTGAGACTTTATTTTAAATACAATAAATGTACTTCTTTGGAGCTAGGTTAGTATTCAGCTGCATTTTTTCCCCCCATTTTGTTTACTTTTAAGTGTTGTGAAAATTAAGTTAATGACTATACTTTCAGTATGTCTTTGCTTAGAAAGGCAGCCAGATTATTTTGAGAGGCTGTATTAAAAATAAATACCAAGTTGGTAATGGTAGAATAGGAGTTTCTGACTTCATGCTAGGAATTATATAAATCAATTTCTAAATAAAATAAAGCTGACAGAGCCACGCTGCTGACTCCTTCTAAGGAGAGATTATTTACAACAATGGCTGAAACTCATCTATGACAGAGATGATTTTGATCTTGACAATTTCAACAGAAAGGCAACCCAGAAGAAACATATCAGTAAAACAGACTAACAAACAAATTTCCACAGGAGTGCAGTTTTGGGTTTCCCTTTGAGAACTATTTTCTTTTCCCAGTGTCAACATTCAAGCATAACTTACCAACTCTGGGCGCTGTAATGGTGGGTGGTTCAATAGGAGCTGTACTACTAAATGCAGAGAGGGGAATCTTCATCTGTAGAGGGGCTCGACTGCTGGTAGCATTATAAAGTCCTGAAGTACCCACTGTGGGCAAAGAAGTCCTTGTGGCCTGGGCAACAGGATGTGCAGTAGAAACAGCCTGTACTGCCAACGTTGTGCCTATTGGCCCAGCACTGGCTGGAGAGTTCCTCTGAATGCCAGGACTGGGCACAGATGGGCTGTTATTTGGTTTAGTTGGGTTAGTGGAGGCCAAAGACACTGTAGTTTTGGTAAGGCTACCAACTGTAGATGAGCTTTGTACGGATATAAATTCAACGTTGCCTGACTGTTGGTTAGTGACCAAAGTCCCTGTGTGGCCTTGCAGGAGCTGAGGCTGGGATGACACTGCGACAGGTACATGCAAGATTACGGGCAAAGACTGCAATGAGACAGACACTGACTGAGTGCTGCCACTGGGCACTTGGTTAGTGCCTACAACCGTAGCTGCGTTAGCTGTGGGAAGAACTGCTGTTGTCAAAGAGCTGGTGGAGGTCACTGGAGTCTGAGGCTTAGGGTGTCCACTGACAACTGTCGGAGGAGCCGCAAGACTGGAAGCTGGCACTACACCCCCCCCCCCAAAAAAAAAAAAAAAAAAAAGAAAAAGAAAAAAATTAAGTATTTGAACCAAGTCGGAAGTTTCACTCCAGCACAACAAATGGAAACGATTTACGATGAGGGTGGTGGCTGAGTCACTGGAACAGGTTGTCTGGAGAAGTTTTGAATGCCCTATCATCCTAAGTGTTCAAAGTCAGGCTGGACAGGGCTTTGAACAACCCGATCTAGTTAAAGACGTCCTGGCCTATGACAGGGGGGTCGGACTAGATGATCTTTAAAGGTCCCTTCCAACCCAAACCATGCTATGATTCTATGAAAAATGTGGTATACAATTAGCGTTTTTGCCAAGAAAGGTTACAGATAGTCATCTTCTGTTGTACACTCTGATATTCAATGGCCTAGTTAAAGATACAGTCAATACTGTATTTCTGTCTGAAAGAACTACATATAAATGGCAAAAAATTAAGATATACAAAGAACTATGACACAAACAGGCTTGAAGAAAGCCCCAAGATTCAACTGTTGAGAACACGTGAAATATAGCATTTTAAACACTCATTACAGAAAAAGAAAAACTCGTCCTTCAGAAAACACAAGAAAAGAAAAACTAAGTCAGTTATGACTAATTTGCTTTGTATAGGTAGGACCTTGTATCCAGAAGGTTCTACTGAAACCAAGGATTAATGTGTCAGAGAAGATACTCAAGATACTCGCTTTTATGCAACAAAATTTCAGGATTAAATCTAAAGATCAGGAGCATAATACAGTACAGAAAGCCAGTATATGCCTACTATGAGATGATTCTGTGGAAAAGATTCAGCATTCAATATTAGGTAAACTATTTTTAAAACCAAACATGGTGTGACTACAATGAATGTAATTAATAGTGGTTTTGATTCTACATTCCCTATAAAATTCTAAACCAGAAATTCCATTTTTCAACTGGATTCCCTTAATAAATGTGGCTTATTACTTCCTTTAGTTCCCCACTCACCTTCTGTATCCATTAGGTAGAAGGGAAGATACCAGCATCCTACTATGATCCAGTACAAAATGTGTTTCACCTCTCAGCAGCTGAGAGACTGCAAGTTTTGCTACCATACCCAGCAAGCAGTCTGCTGAAGCATCTCATCTACCCACATGTTCTGGCTGGCCAAATCAACACATTTTTTCCCTTACCTGGTAAGCACACTACACAAATATAAACTGGGAATGTGGTAAGGAGCTAAAAAGAATGATTTTTGATGTCACATGAAGTTCAGTTAGTTACTTATTTAATGGAAAGCAATAAAACTTTCAAGAAGTGCGTGTATATTCCATAGACAGTTTCTTACCTGCATTCACAGGGGCTTGAAAAGTTGCTGGCGTGCTCTCTCCTACATTCCTCTTTGACTCCAGCATCTGCCTCACTGTGCCAGCATTTCTAAGAAACAAAGTTTCAGTTAGCATTTTTCAGTGAGCCACACCAGCTATAATTATGAACAGTAGAATGATGAAAAAAAAAAAAAGCCTTATTTTACAGATATTCTTTTCACTGACATTTTCTAAACCCATTTATTTTCTGCCCCCCCCATGCAAATTAACTTTGGATATTCCCCTACTAAAATAAATAAATATATATATATATATATGCAGAATTATTTGCAAATTTTCAAGTGCTTGCACCAAGTTTGCCTTTCACCATGAGAATTTTCCCTTCCTCAAAATTAAACTTCCATTTTTATCCATTATTTTTTAACTGCTGAAACAACACTCATCTCAGTCTACCTAAGAATGGATTCAATACTGTCCATTTACGACTTCTGTGAAAGAAAATCTAATTTTACAATTGAAGAGCGATGAAGGAAAAGCACTTTAATTAAAAGAAGAAAATACAGGGATTATCCATTACACAATATATCTTAAGTGTCCTATTGTAAATTTTAACATGGTCACAGCAATGTGGTTTGCTTACCGATATGTTGCATTGATCGTGTTTGCAGTGTCACTTGCTGCTTTCCCTGGAGACAGGGGTGCATTTGGTGAATTCTACAAAAAAAAAAAAAAAAACCAAACAACAACAACAAAAACCAAAAACAAAAGGCAAAAAAAAAGCCATAACAAGACAACTGTAAGTCAGCTTGCAAACTTATGCTTTTGTTATATTTTATATTCATTCATTTCTGTGTGAGATACACATTTTCTGGAGCCAACACTGCAGGAGAACTTGACATGTTCTACAACTCCCAAAACCTTCTTGGTCCTACCTGCCTCCCTCTCCTACATCCTGCATTTTTATAAGTGTCTTGCCTTCAGGTTTTTATAGCATGAGGATCGAAATTTATTCTTGAACGTTCATGGACTTTTAGCTTCCACTTCTTCACAGTAATTAATCCAAAATAATCATTCTGGACACAGAGAAATACTATTGCTTGTATCCATTCCTCTCCTCCCTCCACCCCCAAAATCAAGGTACTGGGATTTGCTCTTATTTACTCTGTACTCTTCAGACTGAAGTAAATTAGATTTACTGACATAGAGTTTAAGGTGGTTTCACACTAATAATACCTAAAGAACCTTCTGTACAAATCAGAATTACACAACAGATGTCAAAAGACTATTCTTTCACATCACTGCCTTTAACCAAACAAGACAAACCTACTTTCTGAACGCCATTGAACAACCAGGTCACATCTTTCTGCACATAAAATTTCTTTGTTTCAAACACAAAGTTTAGGCTAACTCAGAAAAAACAAATATAACAAATCTAGTTCTTACTTCCTGTCTTTTCTTCAAGTCCTCCCTGGCTGCTCCAAACCGCTTTGTCAATCTAGCGATTTTAGCCTAAATGGGAAGAAGATGAAAACAAACAAACAAACCCATAAATACCCTCCCCAAGAACCATTAAAGAAATTACACAAACTAAAAGATATGTAATTAAGACATCAAGTCAAAGACTATTTTCATATCAGGGGAAATTATTCTTCCTTGAAATGCAGTACAACTACATTACTTCAGCGCAGCAGAAAGACACCTTGATTGTGATACATGTATGTATCTTAGAGATAACCTGAATTATTTTCCTTCCTATTCACAATTGTACAAGCAATCCATCTTGCAGAGATTCACGTAATACTCCGCATGAATGAAAGCAACTGAAAGCATTTGACTGTTTTAATGCCTTATGTACCAACCATATTGAAAAATGCACCCCTTTTTGCCTTTCATATTACTTACTCTTTCCCTATTTATCCTATTTCTCTCTTCACTGATACACTACATATCACACCCCCCCCTTACTGTCAGCTTTGTTCTGCTCTATTTGATGTTCAGGTGTCAGGTTCATTATCTTCTTAAGCACCATTCTTACATCTTGTCTTTTACTTCTTGTGCCTCCCCCAATACACTATTTGGTGACCAACCCTTCTTTAATTGCCTCAGCATTACAAGATCCTAATTTACCCTGTCTAGGTTGCAGTTCTGATGGCTGACTTAATTCTGGAGGCAGTAGCTGTGCCATTTGTTCTAAGCAGGTACTTTTTCTTTTCTTTTTTTGCACAGAAACAAAGAGTTAAATTCTTTTTACGAACTCCTGAAAACACTAGGTTAGCACTAGAAGAATGGAAGATTTTTTAAAAAATCAGCGAGTTTCATATACCATGATTTCAGAACTTCTTACCTAAAAGGAGCTGGTCCACTTAGAAACCTCACTTCTTTCACATTTTTACAAAGCAAGATGACAGGCTACAATTATAGTCTGCCTTTAATTACATTTATATGTCAACTTCTGTTACCTTTTACAATGTAGAGGTGTTTTGGAGCACCTTGCGTAATAAAAACCAAGTAAGCTGACATTGCGAGTCTATTAACATCAACACGTTCACAGCCTTATATGATGTTATTAATTTGACACTGTAGTTGATTGGCTAAGCATCTTAGCACTTAACAAAAAGTCAGCACAAAACATCTGGGGTGGCGAGGGGGAAGAGTTATGTCACATGAACTGGTCTGGCAAACTTCCATACTTTTTTTTATGTTAAATGTAAAGTGGCCTTATTGTTTGAATTTGTTATGACATATAAGCTCTTAATTGTCTTGTCACTTCAAAATTCTTTTATTTTTGTGATGTTCCTCACGTCACCACTATGTACATAATTTCTATAAAGAATGCAAGAAAGCATACTGCATTCAACACTAGTTATTTTTTTCCTTGCTAGAACATAATTACTTAGTTTCTGGGGAAATAACATAGATAAGTATCATGTGATGTTTCTTTGTTTGAACATTCTACAAAGTCCAGTACTATTGTCCCCCTGTTTCTGCACTTTTCTGTTTCTAAGTGAATTTCTGGCTTCATAGAGGCATTAGATATTTTCATACTTAACATTTATTTGAAGAATGTCTAAATGGAATAGAAGAGTGGAAAAGTGGATTACTAACAACTAATGAATCAGTTTGCCAGAAGGAGGATTTACTTTGGGTTTTTTTTGATGATCAATTGGTTGCTTGCTTCTTTCTGAGTAGGGAAATAGAATTTTACAACTCAAAAGCAACATTAGTATTTGCTGCTCCCCCTGCCCTTTTCCTTTGTGGAGTCAAAACAGCTTCCCTACTGACAACTACAAGAGACTTACTACTAAATGTTAAGGAACTTATTTTTAAATTTGACTCTAGTATGCAGTTCAACATACAAACACTCACCTGTAGTTCAGTAAGCACAGTTTTATGCCTCTTGTTACATTCTACTTTCTCTATTCGGGTTTTCAAGTCCGCCAGAGTCTTGTCAAATACAGCACACTGTAAAGCAGTAAGTTTTTCTTCTAACAGTCTCTGGATAATCTGCAAAATTATTATTAAAAAAAAAAAAGAAAAATAACAATGCAATCCCAGAGTTTGGGAGACCATCTATAAAAATATACTCAATTCTTAACAAGTATCCTGCTACAAACAGAACAATGACAACAGTTGTGCCTCATCAATCAAATAAATCTATAATCACCAGTAAGCATGCGGTTGCACAGCTAAGAAAAGTTTCTACATCTATTTTGGCAAATACAAACGGTCCCTCTTTGCCATTAATTCAAGAAATTAATTTCATTGCAGTATGATGTGTATAAAAGCTTATTACATATAAAAAGAACCTTAACTGCAGAAGATATTTTCATAAAGTGCTGTCTTTACACAAATTAATTTTTCCTTTTACTTTTCTGTTCTTGAGAGGAATACTGGCATTCAAAGAGCAGTAACTAAAGCCATTCAACAAAACTTTATTTCTGAGATGCATTTTCCCCCTAGCAGAAATGCCCCAAGTTGCTTTTCTTGCAGAAGCTAAAAATGGAAAGAGACTCATTTCCACAAAGTTTACTTGATACCTTATTATTTATTACAAATTTTTTCTCCCTCCTATACCTATTGCAGTGCAAAAATTTGCCTTAGGAAACAAAAATAAACAAGCCACAAATGTCATTCAGTTTTCTGCATCCTACATCAACGAAGTTACAACATGCACTAGCAAACTAACTAATGAAGAAGGGCACAATCTTTTTTAATTCAAGACCAGAGGTTTCTTTACATGCCAATGGTGCAATCAGGCAATTAACAACTCTGTAACAATCTGCAAAACCCTATGTTGATTGCACTCTTGTTTGGAGACAGACTTTCTTTAAAGCTAGGCACACAATAAAGCGCACTACATATAAACCTTTATACCTCCTTTGCTAAGATTCTCCATCTATAGTCACGTAAGACCTAAGAGTTTAAATATTTAGCACATTTCAAATTTAACTCCGGCAACATAGTTTTCATATGGTATTTGGTCTCTTCTTAAAAGCAGGGCTATATGGAACTTTATATGAATTAAACCACCTTTGTTATTTGAATTACGTCCCATTTTCAACCACAAAAAAGAGTGTTTGGGGGGCAGGGAGTATGTGGGAAAGGATAGCTAATTCAAAGATGGTAAGACAAGTGACAGGTGCGTGTTTGCCATCTTCGCTCCACACTTCCATCCTACCTTTTGTAATTTTTGGTCAACATCCTTTCTGGCTGTAATTTTTACTTGAAGTTCTGCTTCATAATCTTCTCCCATGTACCGACGACGTTTAGAATGAACACTGTCCATGTCCTCAGATTTGGAACGCTTTCTCCTTGACGCTTCACCTGGAATAATTAGATACAACTGCTTGTGAGGAACCTTTGAAAAAACAGGTATCTGCAGAATGCCGTGATTATTATGAAGTTTCATTTGTCGCCAGTTTAAACTTTTTCATCCTAAACCAGTAAGAAAGCCTTTGGAAAAACAGGATGTTTGATGACATCAAAGCAGAACAACAGTCCCTTTTGTCTCTGTACACTGCTGCCCTGTTAGCGAGTTCTGCTTTTTAAGACACCAAACCATGGCCCCAAATGCAAAATGGCTCTAGTACCACCATTCCCTTCTCCAGAACTTGCCTGCAAGTTCTTCCTGCTCCCATCAGCACCTTCCTATAATGAAGTATGGCTTCTGAGAAGCATAACAAAACTCTCTTCTGAAAAAGGAATCCTTTTCTCAGGATTCCAGCCAAATAAAACCACACCTATTCTGCCTGTGCCAGCAATGAACTTTTTTTCTACCTGCCATGAAGTTTTAATCTGTACCTCCAATCCTTGACTGAAAAAAAGATTCAAACCTTTTTCTTACTTCTTGGGTAAGAGGGAAAGTAAAAATCTAACAAAAGAACAGGCTCAAAACAGAACTATATTATAAAAATAATTTTCATCACAGTGATGAAACACAAAAGAACCAAAGAGACCTCATTCACTCATCCAGCTCCTGGCACTGTATCCTCTAGAGATCCACATATAAAAAAAAAAAACAAGCCTAGGTAAATTATCAGGAAGGGAAGCTACAGAGCATACTGTGTGTACCTGACCACCATCAAAACACCATAGGCCATAACCCCCAACCCCTCCACTCCAAACCTGAGGATGTACAGGAATTAGATGAATGAAGATTCACTGGAGATTGAAACAGCATAACAAAGTTACTTTCCACTGCCATTTTTTTCTTTTACTTGTACTACATACACTCTGAGTTGTATTTCTAACTTCACAAATTTCTTATAGTCTGATTTTTTGATGGTTAGATTTCTGATGCTTTCAGTCTGATCTGATTTTATGATGGTTTGTGATTTTTTTTTGAGAGTTGCACTAATTGCACTATTGTACTAAAAATTATTAAAAGGTAGTATTTTAAAATCTGCATGACAGCCTAGGTTATTTTTAAAAGTTTGTGAAAGCATAGGTCCTCAGATTTTAGGTAAGTTTTATAGGGCCACAGGGATCTTCATAAAAATTTGAAGAATGCTGAATATTTGCAAGCCATATAAATGTTTAAGGTATGAGTTCATCTTTTTTTTTTTTCCAGAATGCCTGTAAACACCGGAAAATGAAGAAAAAAAAACGCCAAAAGAAACCAACCAATCAGAGCTACATCTCCAACTTTCTTCCATCCATCAGAAAAACGTGTACAAATAAAACTAAAAAAACCCCATGTATAGTTAGAACACTACTCCTAGACTAGTGAAGACAAGTTTATTATGATCGTCAACACGACTCTTTCCTACTCCTAGTCAGTCTCTTTAGAAAAAGCTTAACCACTGAATAGTACAAGTAGTTTGTAACATGCAAGAGCTACTTACATATTTAATAGAACATGTTTAATAGTCAGGTACTTTGTTCTGAAGCAGATGCTGCATCTAACTTCACTGCAGTTAGATTCTCTTTGAAGAGCTTCAGGGTGCTTGCTACTAGTGAAAAGGATCTATCTAAAGGAGGCTGTGACTTCTAGGAAACTAGCAGCTTCTAATGAGCTGCATCAGCTATTCTTGATCAAAGGGTGCTTTGTGCTTCTGTTCCAGCTGATTCCTTATGGAGGCTCAAACACCCGTTCAGCAGGTACTAGGGAGAGGTCTACATTACTGCTGGGCCTAGAGGACAGCTCCCAGAAAGCAGTGAACAAACACAGGACTTTGCACAGTGGGGTGCACAGAAGGTGGATGGTCCCTGCACTCAGTAATGGTGGTGATGTGCCACATGGTGTGGTCTGCAGCAGCCACTGGAACAACTTTCCCAGTAGTGTCAGAGCCTCCACCCAGAGTGAGCTATTTTGGGGGAAGATATGGCTTTGCAAGCCTTGGGCTGCAGGGATTATCTAGGGCCTCCCATTCCGGCTAAGGCTGTGGCAGAGGGAGATGAGCTTCTTGGCTACAGAAAGTGCAAACTAGTGGCAGACCTGTGTTACTAGGTTAAAGGAGCTATGGGAGGAGGTCAGGGATGGAACAACATCAGAAATTATGAGAAACAGATTGGCTGGATATATGCCAAGATCCTGCAGCCTCAAGAACCACAACCCCCAGTTGTACCAAAGGAGGTACAGTTACAGCCTGAGCTTACGCAGATGGGAAATGGAGACTCCCATGATGACAAAGGCTGGAAGCACCAGGACAGCAGCTCCCACTCTGCCTGCAGATGTACAGGACAATGACAGATTTGGTTCAGTGCCCTCATAGCAGATATGGGGTGGGCAGCTCCACCCCATGAAATGTCTGAACTGGCTAAGCCTGAGCCGTGCAGTAGCACCACATATTAGTAGCAAGTGACTCCCTGTCTGCAGTGGATAGAGGCCCGCATCTGCTAGGGACAGGTGACCTATGAGAAAGATAAAGTCACTATGTGGGTGGGAATGGGCTTAGGAAAGCCAAAGCTCACTCTAAGCTGAATCTGGGGACGGGCATGAAAGGTACAAGTGTACCAGTATACCAGCAGCAAAAGGAAAACTAGGGAAAATATGTCCCCTCTGCTGAATGAGGCAACAGAGCAAGTGACAAAGGACACAAACAACCCAGGCACTCAATGCTGCCTTTGCCTCAGACTTTAACGAGAAGACTTGCCTTTAGCAATGCCAGCTCCCTGAGACCAGTGGGACAGTCTGGAGTAAAGACAGACTTGCTCTCAGTGGAGGAGCGCTGAGTTAACACTTAAGCAAACTAGACGTACACAAGCCCACCCAAGCCAGGAGGATGCACGCACAAGTGCCAAGGGAGCTGGCTGAGGTACTGCAAGGCCACACTCAACCTCTGAAAGGTTGTGGCAATAGCAGAAGGTTCCTGAGGACAGGAGTGACATTCACTTTCTTCTAATCCTCAGGAACGGCAAGAAGGACCTAGGGAATTACAGGATAGTCAGCCTCACCTCAATCCCTGGGAATGTGATGGAGCAAGTAATTCCAGAAATCATCTCTAAACATATTTAGAAGGTGATGGGGAATAGTCAGAATGGATTTATCAAGGGGAAATCATGCTTCATCAGCCTGATAGCCTTCTACGATGAGATGACTGGCTTAGTGGATGAGGGGAGAGCAGTGGAAGCTGTTTATCTTGTCTTTAATAATGCTTTTGACACTCAAACCACTCTCAGAGACAAACTGATGATGTATGGCCTAGATAAATGGACTGGCTCAACTAGTTCTCCAAGAGCTGTGATTAGCAGCACAAAGTCCATTTGGAGCTCGTCACTAGTAACACACACCAGTGGATGATACTGGTACCAATGCTAACATCTTCATTAATGACCTAGATAATGGGATTGAGGGCATGGTCAGCAATTTGCAGATGATACAAAACTGGTTGCTACAATAGACGGGTTATGCTTCCATTCAGAGTCACCTTGACAAGCTGGAGAAATAGGCAAACAGGAACCTCATGAAGTTCAACACAAGGAAATGCGAAGTCCCACACTTGGGTAGGAATAAACCCATGTACTAGTACAGGCTGGGAACTGACTGGCTGGAAAACAGCTTTGCAGAAAAGGTGCTGGTGGTCTTCACGCACATCAAGTTTAATGTGAGCCAGCAATGTGCCCTGTTGGCAAAGAAGGCCAACAACATCCTTGGCTGCCTGAGGAAGAGTATTGCCAGCAGGTCAAGGGAGGCAATTATTCCCCTCTAATCAGCACTGTGAGACTGAACCTTGAGTCTTGTGTCCAGTTCTGGGCTTCTAAATACAAGAAAGACATGAGCATACTGGAGAGACTTCATTGTAGGGCCACCAAGATGTTTTATGGACTGAAGCATCTGTCATATGAGGAAATGACAGCTGGCATTGTTCAACTGGAGAAGGCGGTTAGGGGAGATTTTTTGATGTGTGTAAACTACCTGATGGGTAGAGGGTGAAAAAAGACAGAGCAAGACTCTTAGTGAGTACCAGTGAAATGACGAGAGAAATGGATGCTAATTGAAATACAGGAAATTCCATTCAAACATATCAAAACTTTTTTTACTGTGAGGGTGGTCAAACACTGGAAGCGGAACACTGGAAGGTTGTGGAGATACTCAAAACCTGTCTGGACATGGTTCCGAGCAAACTGCTCTAGCTGACCTGGTTTTGAGCAGGTGGTTTGGACAAGATAATCTCCAAAGGTCCTTTCCAACTTCAACAGTTCTGTGTTTCTAACATGTACGACCAGTAGAGCATAATAGTTTTAATATTACGTACTTCTCTCTGTGTGCTTCTCCTCTTCTTTGTGGGCCTCTTCTTCTCCACCCTCTTCACTCTCCTTTCTTCTCTCCTCCTCCACCTCTTCTACAAACAGAACAAAAACCCCCAGGTGTTACTTATGCTGACCTACAAAAGTCTTGTAAGAGTCCTATTGAATGCTTATGAAAAACCATGCTGGGGAAGGCAAGAGAAATAAGTGTGACACAGAGAGAAGGCAGAGATGAAAAAAATCAGAGGATACCTTCAGAACAAAAATTTGAACTACCGTACAACACAGGAAGATTGGCTTCTGGATTTGCTTAGCTTTAAAATCAACTGAATGCCTCAAAGTTACCTCTGAAATTTTTAATGTAGTTAAAGTTCTCAATATATTATTTTAGTTTATTTTTCACCTAGGAAAAAGTAGTATAAAAATTTCAGTAACAAAATACTAATATATTTCTCTATCTATTTACAATTGGCAAATTCAACCATAATCTTTATGGTAGAAAAGGCCTAGATTCTTCTTTTCTTAACAAATATGAATTTTCGTTTAAAGTTTCTTCCTGATACAAAGCATCACAATTTAAGACTAGTTATTTAAACACATAACATTTCAGGAAATTCTTAAAAAAAGAAAAATCTGAAATAACACCCCCAAATGCAAAGAGGTTAAAATGAAAAATGTTAACACTTCCTGAAAACTTTTATTACATGTACCATGAACGTCCATTATGTGTTTTGTACAGGCTGTATTTGCTACCTCCTGTGCTCCCTACATACAACATAAAACTATTACTTTTAAGATTACATTAAAATTGATCCAGAATATAACAGAACAAGTCAGCACTGTTACGCACATCTTGATATGTACACTTCTCCAATTTCCTATTTTCATTTTGTTATTACAGCAGAGTTTACTAGCTTTTTTAGACAAAGTTCTAGCTGCAAAGATATGCCTGGTGTTCTCTTAACAATAAATTTAACTTCTATTATGAAAAACATTTGAATGATTTAAAATAAGTCACCTAATAAATCAGAAAAAGGAAGGAGTCAGAAACCCAAAATCTGAAATTATGAGATTTTTCATTTTGTTAATTTATACATGAAATATTCATTCCACATAAATTCTTCAAACCCAATCTGATTTATTTTTAAGATAATAAAATGGCATAGTGCCTATGCCACCTGCTTTTAAGACTTATAGATAGGCTTCATATATTTAATTGTTATCTGTAACACAGGACTCATTTACCTAAGAATCTAAAGGAGAGTCACTAAGTTCAAGAGTACTTTTCCCACAATTTACAGATTTTAATATTCAACTGAAAGATACAAATATTCCATGGAAAGATACTTTAAAGACATTCTAGGTCTGTGTATGTTACAAGTTTCAAAGCTGAGCTTTCTGAGTTCCATGTAGAGAACAAAGTAATTTCAAGGACAAGTAAGTCCCTTCCTTACAGACTTCCATCACTCTGAACAAGTTTAGCTCGTTTAACTAAAAGTGGTTTAAACACGGTGCCCAGCTAAACCTCTCCAGTTAAGAAGGTTCAAACCATAATACAGAGATAATTTTACAACTGGCTAACAGCTTATTTTTCACTGATAAGCTGCGATCTTGTTATCCTGATGCTAGACAGGCAGAAGCAATGAATGCAATCCTTTAAAAAAACAGTAATTTGATATCACTAAGTTATCACTGTATTTATCACACAGTTGTCTTAAGTCACACTATTGGCTGTGGATCTGAACACAAAGGTGGTCGCCCATCACTAAACAGTTGATAATACCTTTAAATAATTTCTACAGCTGCAAGCATTTAGATCTGCTTAATGACTGACTGGATGCATATCTGAATGTCAGTTCTGCCAAAATATACATATAAATGGAAATAAAAATAATAAGTAAGCATAAGAGTATCTGAACCGTATTTGCAAGTTATTCTGGACTGCGCTGTCATACTCTTACTGTTCCATAATCCTGTAACCACAACATTCTCCTTACAGATTGGCTAGAACTGATGTGCACAGACAGCAATCACAAGAAAGTACAAAAGCATAGCCTTTCTAAGTAGTGAATCCTTGATCAAGCTCTACCTAGAAGTTATGATGAAGCAGAAATACAAGATTCGTCTATTTTTCTTTAGGAAGAAATCACAGATTCATGTATTTTCAAAGGACTCATCATGACCCAGACAAGCTGGAGAAATCGGATGACAAATGCTTTATGATATTCAACACGGACAAATACAAAAGTTCCGTACCTGGGAAGGCAGAACCCTTGCAATGACACAGGCTAGGGCCCGCATGACTGGGAAGCAGCTCTGCTTTCAGGACTCACATAGACAGCAAGCGAAGCATGAGCCAACAGCATGCCCTTGGCAGCAAAGGAGGTCCACAGCATCCTGAGCTGCATTTACAGGAACAGAGCCACTGTATCATAAGAAGTGGTTAGTACCCCTTACCCGGCACTCATTATGCCATCTCTTGGTAAGGAGCAAGGGACTGCTAAAGGGCTGGGAAACATGACCTGTAAGAGAGGCTGAGGGAGCTAGGCTTGTTCAGTATGGAGAAGACAAATCTTAATGAGGACTTAAAAAACAGCTTTTCAATACCTGTAAGGTGGCTTTTGAGAAGATGGAGCCAGACTCATTGTAAAGGTACATAGCAAAGAATAAGAGACAACACGTGTAAGCAGAAACAAGAGATTCCAACTGATAGAAAGAAAAACATTTCCATCATGAAGAGAGTCATAGAATCATAGAATCATTTAGGTTGGAAGAGACCTTTAAGATCATCGAGTCCAACCATCAATCATGCCCACTAAACCATGTCCTGAAGTACCCCGTCCACTTGCTTTTTGAACACCTCCAGGGATGGTGAGTCCACTACTACCTTGGGCAGCCTGTTCCAATGCCTGACAACCCTTTCAGTAAAGAAATTTTTCCTAATATCCAATCTAAACCTCCCCTGCTGCAACTCGAGGCCATTTCCTCTCGTCCTATCTCCAGCCACCTGACAGAAGGGACCAGCACCCACCTCACTACAACCCCCTTTCAGGTAGTTGTAAAGAGCTATAAGGTCTTCCCTCAGCCTCCTTTTCTCCAGACTAAACAGCCCCAGCTCCCTCAGCCGCTCCTCATAAGACTTATGCTCCAGGCCCCTCACCAACTCGGTTGCCCTTGTCCAGACTTGTTCCAGCAACTCAACATCTTTCCTGTAGCGAGGGGCCCAAAACTGAACACAGTACTCGAGGTGCGTCCTCACCAGTGCCGAGTACAGGGGAACAACCACCTCCCTGCTTGTGCTGGCCACATTATTTCTGATACAGGTTAGGATGCCGTTGGCCGCCTTGGCCACCTGGGCACACTGCTGGCTCATATTCAGCCGGCTGTCGACCAGCACCCCCAGGTCTTCATCTGCTGGGCAGCTTTCCAGCCGCTCTTCCCCAAGCCTGTAGCGCCGCATGGGGTGGTTGTGACCCAAGTGCAGGATCTGGCACTTGGCCTTGGTGAACTTCATACGACTGGCCTCGGCCCATTGATCCAGCCTGTCCAGATCCCTCTGTAGAGCCTTCCTACCCTTGAGCAGATCAACCCTCCCTCCCAACTTGGTGTCATCTGCAAACTTATTGAGGGTGCACTCGATCCCCTCATCCAGATCATTAATAAAGATATTAAACAGAGCTGGCCCCACTACTGAGCCCTGGGGAACACCACTTGTGACCCGCGTCATTGGAACAGGTTACCCAGAGAGGTCATCCAGTCTCCATCAGTGGAAGTTTTCAAGATCTAACTGGATAAAGTTCTGAGCTACCTTGTCTAATCTCACAGCTGACCCTACTTTGAGCAGGAGACTGGACTAGAGACCTCTTGAGGTCCCTCCCAACCCGAACTACTCTATTATTTGGTCACAACTCTCCTGCCTATTATAAAATAAAATAAAAAATTATCAAGTGATTCAAACACAAAGCATAATATTCTCTTCTTTAATTATTTATTACCACATTTTTAGTTGAAAAAAAAAATCAATAAAGAACTTAAAGATTACCACTGACGAATCCAACATCCATTAATCGGTCCTCCAAAGCCTGTTGGACAGAAGTGTGCCTGACTTCTCATTTGCAAAATCCAGTGGATCAATGATGCAGCAGTTCTGTCTTTGTCTGCTACATTAAAGAAACCTCTTTCCACCATATGTGCAGCTCCTGTTTGCAGATAGTATAGACCTTCTTAATCTTCTATTGGATGAACAAAACTTAGGTTCTTTTAAGCCTTCCAGTAAAAAGTTTGTTTCCTAAATGCTGAAATATTTTTTTCAGCAACTCTCTGAAAGCCTTCCATTATCCCTTTTTGAAATAAAAACCAGAAACAGAAATATTATTACAGAAAAGTGGTTTCATCAGTGCCATTTAAGTGTAACTTATTTTCCTATTTGCGAATTCAAGAATTTTGACAGCTAGTTCTACCACAACACAGGAACAAAAGTTCATGTTTAGTTGTTTATCTGCCATTCCATGCTCTGAAGTTCTCCTCAAACATTACATTCTAGAAGACAAGCTGTATCCTTTTAAATGTTAACTGCACTCTTAATTCTTAAAGGGTTGTACTTGGGTGTGGTGCTTGACTTCAGTCTCCCTTAACAAAGATCAGTAACAAGTAAATTCTCTTTCAAACTATCTCTGGACAGCATGAAATGCCATTGCTGTAGAGAAGCCTAGAATCAAGGTGTCTAGAATGCACTCAAAGTGCTAGCAATTCTGAGGAAGACAGACTTCAGATTTGCTTTGGTAGACATACTCACCTGGTCAAACTTGAGACTATCCAGATTAGGTAAGAGAAAGAACATAGCAACAGCTGCACTAGGTAAAACCAACAGTTCACCTAATCCAGGATCCTATCTACAACAGTTCCATGTCAACAGTAGATGATCAAGTAGGGAAGAATGTAAGGAGGAGAAAAAGAACATAGTTACACAGTCCCAGAAAACTTCCTCAGCTTTCTGAAAAATTGCTTGTTTACTTACCCAAAGATCTTCCGTCACAAAAATCCTGAGTGCCAACGTAGCCTTTGTATTTACTAATTCTACTTCAGAAAAAGATTCTATTAATCTGCCCATTTGAAGAAAGTCTTCTAGTACCATTCTTTACATCATTGTTTAGCCATGCTGGTTTTCATCTGGGCTTTTTGAAAACTGTACTTTTTCCATTAAGCAGCTTGCACCTGTGCCTCCAATATAGCATCTTCAAATGATCTCCACACCATCTCCAAAGATTTAATTCTCACAGACTCTTTCCAAAAGTTAACCTTTATCTTCTAAGATAACTCTTGTCTTCTTATACAATTGTTTCCTGCCCCTGCAACCTCTCTGCTATTAGCTTTGTTACTGAAAAAATGAAATTGGCAAAAAGACTGCAAGATTTTTGTATTAATACCATGTTAAATTTAGTACAAAATAGGTCCCCAAAAGATTTGCTTGAAATATTTCACAGAAGGTACTATTCAGAAAAATTTAAACTCCCTTCTCTGCAACTTGATGGGCAAGCTTTATGAAGCTTAGAATGCAGAAATTAACAAATCACTGCTGGTTAAGGACAGAACACACTTCAGAGTGGCCAGTTTTCATTTCATTAACAGTCTCAGTTACAGCCATGCAACTGTAAAAGTCATAAACTATTATAGCCAATAAATAAAACAACTAGTCAACAGAATTCGTCCTGTCACCAAAACTGAAAATCTGAAAAAAATATTGCTGGATACAATCATTTTAGACTTCTGCAAACTGTAGTCCAATATTTAATATTCACTTCTGCCTTTTTGCTCCAGAGCAAAAACTCCTCTGTGACCACAATGTGTTTTCTCATTGGGTAAGATGACGAAAAAAAAAAAAAAAAAAGCAACCCTGATATCTTAATTTCATTCATCTCAAATGAAAGAACCCTTAAACTGCACCAAGAACAAGGATCATCAATTTATTTGTAATGTACACTTTATAAAAGGGACTTGTAACACACTACAGCTTTGACACAAGTACACACAATGTTCCTTCTCCCTGCAGCTTCCATCTCCAAATAGTTTCTGGAAGAATTTAATTGCACAACAATGGTATCACTTTTGCAATCTCAGTGCAACACCTAACACCTAAATAGGATCCTTAGAAGAAACTACGGAATCTACCTTTTCTCTGTTTAACTGGCATAAATTTTAAAGGTAAATACCAGAAAAGAAGGAAAAGTCTGAAACATGGCTGAAGAGACATACTCTTATCTCCCTCTCTCTAGTTGTTTAGAGACTGAAGACTCAGAATGCCATCACACATTAGCGAAAGACACTGTTTCATCATTAGTGAAACAAGAGTTGAGAAACTATGGTTACTAACTTGCCAGACGCTGAAAGACACCTGAAGCTTGTTTAATCTATGGAATTCCTACTCAGTCAAGCATGTTTAAACACATTTGCATTACCACTGTTGTCATTTCATAAAAAGCTATGCGAAGTGGGGGGGAAGAAAAAAGCCACCCCAAGATCATTTGAAACAACAGCTTTCTTAATTGCAGATAGAAAAGCAGTGTCAACTTATCTGTAATTTATTCATCTGTTTTATTTTCAGAAGTGCAACTGTATGACAATAAGTGCCCTATGTAAAAAACAAACAAACAAAATGCTTACAAAACTGTATGACAATAATAGACTATAGGGGACATCCAATTCAGTTTAACATAAAAAAAATTCTTCTGCTAACTACAAGAAGAGACTGAAGTACCAGCTTACTGCAATCAATGCTTTCAAATGTTAATCAGTTGCCACAGTCACCAGATAAAAGGTCAATAAAACCCACTATGAGTTAAATATATGGTTTTCATGCTATATAGCTTTTATACATTACTTGCATTTTTTCATGAAACCTTTCCAATACTGTCTTTTGGTGAAAAAAAGAAATTTGAAAAAAAATGGGAATTGTGGCATACCTGGATTACCAGCATGTTTTTATTCTTATTATTTATTTGCACATTAAAGAAAGTTGAGATCCTTTCTTCCCCTCAAGAACAGAAAATGAACACGTTTCTCTTCTCACAAATCTTTCTATTTCATGTCTGGCAATTACTCATCTTCCCTCTTCTTCCACCTACCATACCACCCCAGTGTGCAAAAAGTATGAGAAAAAAAACCCAAACCAAACTAGATCTTGAAGATGACAGGTTTTTGGTGTTACCTTCATTTTTTTTCCAGGCCTCAAATTCCATCCTTGAGAACTGTAAGACTATGTAACACAGAATTGGTGGGTAAGACTGCCTTTTTGATTTAGAAAGATCACAAGTGTGTCATTCTAAGAAATGAACAAAATCCCAGACTTGAATCAAAACTACCCGTTTATAAAATTCTTACCTGGAAGACTTGACTTGTTTGGTAGTATTATTTCAGCACGTTCCTCCTTCTCATCACAAGCATCCTCTTCATCAGACAGTACTAAGAAAGCTTCTTTTGGCAGACTTTCACTGCTTTCCTGCTTGGATGGTGAACCCAAACAGTTGTCTATCTTCTCTTCTAAGTCTGGGACTGTGTCATCCACTGGAAGCAGAGAACTTTTAGAAAAACAGCTCAGTTCGTCTTCAGCAGGGGCTAGTTTTTCCAAAATTGGAATAATTTCATCTGTTTCCATAGAGTCAGTATTGTCCAAGATACTTCCACTTGGCTCATCTATTGTCTTCTGAACAGTGGTTTCTGAAAGACCTGCAGGGATGCCTTGTTTGTCCTTTGGTTCTTGGTCAGCTTCCATACTGCTAGAGATGGCTTCTTCTCCAACAGCTTCTTCAACAGTTCCTTCCTCAGTCCTTTTTGCCTCACCAGATGAATCGGAATTAATAGTTAAGTCATTTGCTTCTCCCTTCTCTTCAGAAGAGTCACTGATACCACAAATTGATTTACTTTCACCTTCTAATGGGATGTCACTCTCTCTTTGGTCCAAATGATCTTTTGTATTATTTTCTTCATGGAAGTTATCTTTATTGCTACAAAGCACTCCATTTTCAGCCTCGCAAGCTAAAGCAGTATCAGTATCTTTATCTTGTGCAGGAGTAACATCCTCTGGAGACAGCGTTAGTTTGGGTTCTATGTCATTGACTATGTTCCCTGCCCTACTTTCAGGGCTTTTTGCTTCACTAATTTCATCAGAAGCTGTTCTTCCTTCTTCAGAGTTAACACACAAGTCCACTAGGCCATTAACTTCCCTCTTGTCCTCCATACAGTCTGTATTGCCTAAAGGGGAATTTAAATCAGAATCTCCATTCTCATGCTTTCCATTTAACAGTTTAACTTCAGTTGTCTTCAACAGCTCCTCTTTAACCTTATAGACAGCTTCAAGTTGTTGTCGATCACTTACTCTCATGGTTTTTCGTGCTTTAAAGACCTTTTTCTGAGGTTCATCTGTGCTATCCATCTTGACCCTTAAAAAAAAAAAAATCAGAAAGAATTGTGAAGATAACAATTTATTATCATCATATGACAATGTTCCTAAGAAAGACTGTAGCATTTAGCACATTTTAAAAGCAAACCGGTTTAACTGCATCTACAAAAACAAACACCTGACAAACACACTTAAATTTTGTTTGTCCTCAGAAAAAGTGAATACAAGTTTCTATGTATGCGGCACAAACACATGTATGTAAAGATCACTGAGATCACACTATAACATTATGTAGTAATATTCTGACCACACATTTTAGACCAGTCGTCTCCTAGTATTATGACAGCAAAGCCACACAATGAGGTTTTCTAGCTAGAAACAGATATTGTATAAGAGTCAGCAGCCTCTCTTCTTATAAAAAGTAAGAAATATTCTTGGTCTACCAGTTTACATTTATCTTTCCAAAACTATGTAATTTCACGAGTTTCAAATAGAATTAACGACTGGGGTAAATGACAAGATTTTCATATCAAGTAACTTTTAAGAAAACTTCAATACATTGAAAGAATTTCTGAATGTGTTAAGGTACTTTTTTTCTTCTGTAGAGACAAAATAGACATTCAGCCTCCATATTTATACAATGGTTAAGTGAACTTGGGTTTTTAGAGCACTTTCATTCAATCTCCAATAATATTTTACTAAGACCATTTGTGCTCATAAAAACTACAGGTCTTGTAGCTCCTTTTAGAAAAACATCCTTTTTCAAGGAAAACTCATGGGTTTGCCCTCCATATAATTTTATTCATTCCATCAACCCATGCAAATATTAAGAAAAATAAGAACATTAATATATTAAAAAAATTTAAGAAAAATAACGTTCAAAAATCTACTTTATCAAATCAATAGAGTTAAATCAAGCATAGAGCAAGCATTACCTAGGAAGTTAAAATAATTTTGTTGAAATACAACAAAATCTTATTTCATTTGCTTCCATTAAACAAAACAAAATTCAGAGTTTCTTGTTTTAGAACCCAGTTTTGAAGGATCAGATATTATATAACTATATTATTCAGAAGCAGAAAGCGGTTACGGAACTTGTTATATCCTAAATGAAACTCAGCAACTAAGATCTTGAATCAGCTGATGCTAACCAATTTAACTCTACCGAAGCTACTACACCACCAGAAATTACTCCTGTCTAGGATATGGCTCTTCTTAAGTTTCTCAAAACATGCGAAAATTCACTTGGGTAACAGTACTTAAAAGATAATACAGCAAGTAGAAAAAGAGAAAGAAAATAAATCAGGCAGTTATCTCTATACGAATTTTATTTTATTTTTTCCACAAGCACCAGATAAATGAGTGTTCGTACCATTGATAAAGCATAAGTATTAGACGAAGAATGCCTTTTAAGTATTTAGTACAGTTCATTTTGCATCTTCCCCCAATCCACTTCCATTCACAGAGCTGAGAAATTCATTAATAAAATGCATTTTGTCTTTTCAGGTGAGGGTATACTTTTTTAAATTATTTTTTGATTAAAAAAAAGCAGGACTACCGCCAACCCTAGCTCAGATCAGCGACGGTTTTATACAACCAAGTCGTAAAATTCACAAAACAGGGATTCCACAGCCTGTAAGTAACAGTTTGGCTACACCCTCTTTGTAACTAACCTTGCCTACAAGTTTTATTTAGGCAGCCATAAGATAGCCTTTTAGCCTTCTCTTCAGCACATTAAAGTTGTAAAGCTCACTCAGCATCTCATCATAGTTCATGTACTTTAGGCTTCTATAACTTTGTTAATCCTCTGCTGGATCCTTCCTAGTTTACTTGGAAGAGTTTGTTGATTAATTACTTAACATTTATGCATTACCCAACTACAGTATTCTATGGTAAGACGTGAATATATATTCTAAGCTACAATATGAATTCAACTATCAAGACAAACTCTAAACCTTACACTCGCGTCATACTGTACTTTGCAATTATAAGGCTTCTTTTATGCTTAGTTAACATGACCTGACAAAAATATGAGCAAAATAGAAAGCAATATGATTTTAAAAAATCCCTGGTTTGCATTTCCTATTAACATAACGTTGAGAATCCTTTCCACTTTATTTCAGTTCTTTTCTGCATGACAACCTAGAATCCTTGTATTTGAGTAACTGATGGTGCTCAAACAACACTTCGATTCACACCACAGGAACAGATGAACAAATCTTCACAAAAGCTTGTATCAGCTATAGACTCTCAGTAATAATCATTAAGACATGATTTTTGCCAGTCTGAACTAGATTTTCTGAACGGGATTGCCTATTACTGCATTGCCACTAGTGGGAGCAAAGTAACACCTACAGAAACACTGATCTGAAACATCAGTTTACTTGTTTTTAGAAAAAGTTCTCATCACATAACCATTTCCAGTCAGATGAAATATGAACTGCCGGTGAGCTGTTTATGTCTCTCCAGAGCTGCCTACATGCTAAATACGGTATCTTCATATTCCTCCAGAAGAGGATACATTTAACACAGTAATTCTAGTCCTGAAGTTAAGAGAAGCATATCAAAACCTCTAGTATTTCAGAAGTGCGCGAGCAGTTTTTGAAGGCACATCCCTTCTTTCTTCCCAAGAACTTAGAATGTAAAGCGCATTTTTTCATATCACTATAAAACCATATATCAGGCTGTCACGTAATAGTTATCATCATCATACTCACATTCCACGCATATAATCCCCTACAACCAGCATGCATACTCTTACAGATGTATATTTCGTATTGGATATTTGGAAAAAATTATCCCATTTGGGGGAAAAAAAAAAAAAAAAAAAAAGAAAAGAAAATTCCAGGCTTGACTAACTTTGAACAATTCCAAGAGCTCCTAACAGGTGACCAGATAGTGAGAGTCTTCTGTTAAAGTAGTACAAGGATACAGGGCCTTTATATAAAAACTAAGACAAGTAGTTTGACCTCCTGGACTACAACGGCTTCTTTTATAAGCACTACCCAGAATTTAAAAGTCCTTATATTACAAAATTCACAATCCTACTTTTCCTATGACCAAAAGATATACAAACAGGTTAATAAAATGTTCACAACTTAAAATCAAATTCATAAGTGCGTCACTTGAGTAATCATAAAATATAACTTCAAAAAAATTAATATTTTCTGCTCTAGCTTCTTTAAGCATCTAAGCAGTCTTTCACTCATATTTTTAACATGAAATAAAATACAATAAATACAGAGTAAAATGAAGGGCACGTCCTCTTTACATTTACCAAGAACAGCAGTCTAAAAAAAAAAAAAAAAAACCAACAACCAAAACCCAAACATCAGAATACCTTTATATTGATGCTTCCTTACTTTTTTCTTAAAAAAACACTAAATGAATAAGCTTGAATTTCCAATATATTTCAAAATAATGTTTACTTTGTATCTTAGGATATTATGCAAAATCTAGTTTAAAAACAAAGCTCTAATACAGTTCTACTGTGAACCGGTACGAAAAAAAGGCTTCTCATAAAATTCCATTGTTAGATGGTTAACTCGTGCATATTTTCAGCTTAATCCCACAATCTTTTGCAACCAAAGAATATGCAATAAAAGCTACCGTGACAAAATTATAAGCATAGATGAGATTAAAAGATGAACGCTAAACACCAGGTAACAGCTAAATATCATGTATCACTGCAGACCAGCCTTAAAGCATCTCCAGCCATACCCACAAGGGAGCACACTGCAGCCAAGTAACAGATTTCATGCGAGAGCCGAGTAAAAGAAGAAACAAATAAATCGGTAACCAGTCCAGACAGGTTTGGCCATGCCAGTGCAAGCCAATCAGCAGCCATCTGATAAATACTGCCTTCCAGTCTTTCAAAGGGGTAAAGAGGTTGCTCTTCAGAGAGCAACTCCAGAGCAGGTTACATGAATTCAGTCTTGCAAAAAATAAAACATTTAAAACGAGTAGCGTTCTAAATGAATGTATGTTCGTAGTCTTCCTTTATACTTAAAAATTAACACAAAGTTTAGCTATGTTTGCTAAGCACTTCCCTCATCTGATGCTCAGGTATTTTCAGATTTTACTCATCGCGTGACCAAGTGACAAGAAGGGAACGAGTGGCCGAGGCACCGAGCCAATGATTTCAAAGAAAGGTGTTTGTATGATGCAGCACAAGATGACTCCTGCATGTAGAGCTAGGTGTGTAAGGGTTAAATGCCGTAAATAAGGTAGTAGGTTTTGGTTCCCTTTTTTGTTTTGAATTTTTTAAACACAATAATCAATTCTGAAACACCAATACACACAAACATTGTGTATATTTGTTTAGATAGCATTTATGAAAATTTCCTTTTTAAACTTGAAAGTCGTATATACTTCACCATCACAGACACAAACACACCATTAGGCATCTCCCTCCAGTAATATCTGGAGATTTCTTTCTCACAACCAAATGTGTGCTACATGGCAAAACCAAAACATGGCAGTGCAGCTAGAAATAGGGAAAGGATTCCTCTCTCAGCCATTAAAAAGTTTTCCCTCTATTTCCCTTTCTTAATTATTATTACTCTATAAGATCGCAGCTCTAAAGCAACAAAGGAAGGTATTAGCTTAGCTGCTGTGGATTAGCCTATAATCGCGTGCTCACATGAACAGCCCCAAGAGCTGCTTGAAACGTCAGCCAATCAGCAAGCAGCTGCCTGAATCCTGCCTGGTAACAGGCAGCAGACAAAGAGAAGGTCATGGAAACAAGGGGGGGCGGGGGGGAAGCTGGAATCTAAACAATAGTGCACAGTGTGGTTTGCATAATATCACCGATCTAGAACAGCATTGGCACAGGGTTCCTGGAGTGCACCCAGTGCTAGCCAAAAGCACCACAACCATAAATATTTGCCAAAGCACGAGAACTACATGGAGGAAGTAAAGCCTTTGATCAAGAAAATCAGTGCTCAAATATGCAAGTCTACTTAAAATATATCAAAGTCAAATCAAAGAAAGCAAGGCAGCAAATGGCCAGGAGTATTTTGTTCTAGATGGAGAGTCCCA